GATAATCCTAAAGTCCAGGGGTTTTGCAATCCAACTTGCTATCCTTTAGGGCCTTAAAAGTATCTTTGCTTAAAAAGATTTTTAGTGGGCATTTTTACCTTTGTGGTAGATTTCCTGTAGCCATTAAATATTTGGCTTGCTTTCCTTCAAGGTTTTATTAATTATTTCATACTCAATTTGTGTTCCATAAAACAGCATTCACTACTTTTCAAAAAGAGACAAGTGCATATCCCCATACCACAGTAAAGTATTTTGAATAATTTGCAAACTCTCTTTTTATTTCCTTCTCTTGCCTCCCCCCGCTACATCAAACCCATCACCTCCAAAAATGACAAAACAATTGTACTCAGATACCCTCTTCTGGGGTTGCAAGTAGGACACAAAGAGCTTTCTGTCACTTCCCCTTAATCTCATAAATATATAGGTAGCCCTCGACTTACGACCCCGATTGAGCCCAAAAGTTTTGTTGCTAAGTGAGACATCTGTTAAGTGTCTTTTGTCCCATTCTATGACCTTTCTTGCCACAGGTGTTAAGAGAATCACTGCAGTTGTTGTTAGTAACACGGCTGCTAAGTGACTTTGCTTCTCAGAAGGTCGCAAAAGGAGATCACGTGACCCTGGGACAACGATGAACCAATTGCCAAGCATTTGGATTTTGATCACATGACCATGGGGATGCTGCAATGGTTGTTAAGTGTGGAAAATGGTCAAAAGTCATTTTTTTCAGTGCTGTTGTAATTTTGAACAGTCACTCAATGAACTGTTGTAAGTCAAGGACTACCTGAGAAGAATTCTTGAAAAATAAAGATGAGAAATCTTCCTTTCTTTCTCTTATTAGATAAAGTATGTATTCAATATTAAACGTAAGCCAGTACTTCCGTACTCAACATGATTATTCTTCAACAGGATTCCCTCCTATGTATTTATTCCTTTTTATTGGAATTCTTTTCCTCCTGAGTTCATCCTCTGTTCTAGTCGAGATCCCTCACCATGCTTGGTTTGTTAATTCAAAATATGTTAGCTTCATCTTGTTCAATGTACAGTAGATGTAATTTTTTCTTCACCTTTAAATTAAAGATTAAACCAGAGGGGAACGTTCAGTGGTAGGTTTTCTAAGCAATTCATTCAAATATTTCAATTAACTTCTTTTCTGAAGACTTTTCAGTAGACATTTCTCGATGAACTTGGACTTTGCAGGGTATCCTTTCATTGTCTTAGCTTTCCGCATAATATATTTTTAAAAACCAGGAAATGAGAACTTATTTTCACTCCATTTATTTTATTACCCAGGAATTTCTAGCACCTGGATATTCTACCTGGAACACATTTTCTGTCTCCGGAGGATTCTGAGAGTAACTCATCAAATCAATTTATTCCAACGGATTATTTATCCCATTCTTTATGCAATTCTTTAATATTTTAATCCCAATGTTGCCATAGCAAAACTCATCTTCCAAATATATAACTCTTTCACATTAGCCTTGAAACCCTCTTTTGGCTGCCTGAATTGAATTTGAATTCTTTTCAAATTCCTTTATTTGCACGATCAGAAACATCTGAAGGATGGAAACTAATCAAGGAGCAATCCAACCTCAAACTAAGCAGAAATTTCCTCCCAGTGAAAAGAACAATCAACCAGTGGAACGGAAGTTGCCTTCAGAAGTTGTGGAGGCTCCATCACTGGAGGCTTTTAAGAAGAGGCTGGAGAGCCATGTGTCTGGAATGGCATGGGGAAGAGATGGCTAACCTTGTTAGTGCCAAGTGCCCAAAGCACACGAAACCCCAAAATGCAATGTGAGGGCCTCACCCCCTCGTGAATGCACCTCCCTGAGCCTGTGGCCCACTGCCCTTGCCCATTTTTGACATCCAGGTTGGTAAAGGAGGCTTTCTAGGCCGAAAGCATGGCGTGGGGGGCTTTGTGCAGCCCACCTGTGCCCTGTTTTGGCTTCCAGGTTGGTTCAGAAGGCCTTCTAGGCCCAAAATGGGATGGGGGGGGCACGTGCGCAAATCCCCAAAATGCAATGCGAGCGCCCCCTGCACATGTGCCCTGCCCCCGTTGCATGCGCACATGCATCCCCCACATGTCCCCCCCCCCGTATGTGCAGCAGAGAACCGAAAACCAGCTGGCTGGCAGGAGGCCCGTGTGCATGCGCGATGGAGCTGGGCTGAGGCGACAGCTGGCATGCCCGCAGAGAGGGTGGAACCTGTGATATGTGTGCCATAGGTTTGCCATCATGGGCATAGGGTTTCCTGCTTGAGCAAGGGATTGGACTACAAGGCCTCCAAGGCCCCTTCAAACTCTGTTATTCTGTAAAAGACAACTTAGGAAATTTCTTCTTGTACTTATGAAATTATTTCTGTCCATTCATTAATTACATTTTTTTTCAACTCAGCCAGAATTTTAGTAAAGAGGGAGGAACAGTTTCATTACCTTCCTTATCTTGTGAAACCTTCATATCACCCTTACTGATTGTTCCTCCTCCTCTGAATTCTGTCCCTAAAAAATCTTTACTTTCTATTTTCTTCTTAGAAAGTAGTACCACAGATTTTTTCCTCCTTTAATGATTTTTTGTTCTTTCAGACATCCTTGAACATTGAGCTTTGTTAGGAGAGGAATAAAATGTTTTTTTCCCCCAGTGTAATTAAACTGGGGAGATGCAGGGCAGATCGGAGACAAATTTATCCAGCTTAGCCTAAAGGCTGTGTGGGTGGAGTTGATCAAGCATAGATCAATTCTGTTCCATGGGTTTAGCTGGATCCTCAGAATAAATGAACAAATCATCCAGATGAACTATCACCTATCCTGACCTAAAAGATTTATAAATCTTACACAGATGTACAGATTGAAAGATAAATCAAAAGTATTGCCATGCTTTCAAATTTTCTAGATGAGATATTTATGGCTCTTCATCCAAATATATAATATATATTATATTATATAACACAATATAAATATAACACAATATAGTGTGTTTTCTGACATTGGTAAAAAAAAATACATGCTTTCTATAGTTGTACTAAGAATTCAGAGAACAGTGATTCTTAATGGTTACAGAGCCACAGAGGAGCATGGAAATGGCCTTAACGAAGGTGGAAACACCAGCTGAGGGATGGAAGAATTTTAAGATTGCTCTGCCTTGATTTCCTTTGGTATGAGAGTAGCAGAGAGAATCTCTGTCAGGCTTTGAGATACCTGTTTCAAAGGTACTTTTTCCAAAGGCAACTGGACTGTTTTTTTTCTGTGAGGAAGAAGAAGAAAGGATGGGGAGGTATAGATGGATCATCTTTCTTTGCAGTCACCTGGTGATTAGCATCCTCTCTGTGAGGTCTTGAGGCCACTTGGGGATTTATCTGTACCCTCAGGCTCACCTGAGTGCAAATGAGTGTGAAAACTTCTTGGGACTGCTGAACGGACTGTGTTGTAGACAGGAGATAGGAAACCGGGTCATAATTGGGCCATAAATTACGTGAGGTCAGAGCTGGCTTCACTTGGGTATCTGCCGACATATTGCTCCTAATAAATAACTGGATTTCTTTTGAAGCTTGGCTCGAGTCTCATGATTTAATTAGGGCATCTGTTGGAACCCCAACAAGAGGTGGTGCCTTATTCCTCTCCCTTTGTTGAGAGAGGGCTGCTCAATGTTAACATAGATTTTACCCCTCTTTCAAACCAATGGTCCTCTCTATTCAGAATATGGACTTTGTTCCAAGAAGATTCCACACCCATTTGCACTCTGATTCAGCGCACAGATAAACCCCCAAGTGGCCTCAATGGCTCTTGGAAAGAGTGCAAATGTCCAGAGGTTTGCAAAGAAATGTGCTCTTTCTGTCCCCCTGTCATCCAGTCTCAACTGTCAGTATCTTTCCTTCCATCCTCCCACCATCAGAACTGAGGAAGCTTCTTGGATCAGAAGCAAAATGTTTTCTTCAACTCTGCTGACATCTGAGTACCAGTTTTGTGCCTCCAGCCTCACCAAATGCACAGGGGGAGCAGTGAGCTCGGGGCTCTTTGGAAGCTTCATTTTAAAAGGAGTTGCCGATTTCTCCAGAACTATTTACTCAGCCAGGAAGAATTCCTAATTCGTCCAGTGACATTTTCCCAACTAGTCAATGAAGGATTCCTTGGGGATTCCTGGGACCGGCCTGTTTGCTCCCACTCCACCACAAGCAGCCAAATGCGAGGAAAACAGGCTGTCAGGGCGAGTGCCAGGGCACCTGCTTTCTCTCTTCCCAGTCACCTCTCTCCCACCTCTCAGTCTCAACTCCAAATTTGCCCCTTTCCCTTTCTATGCAAGCGAGCTAAGGTTTGCGAGTTGCAAATAGGTCCAGGGTAGGACAACTGGGGCGAATTATCCCATTCCAGCCAAAATGGTGGTAAAAATGAACAACCCTAGTTTGTGATAAACTAGTCCCTGGGAGAGGGAAGGAATCTGGGCAGGAAGATCCTGACCTCTGTGGCTATCACTGACCCACCTGTTGCTGGGGGCTTTGAGAAAGCAGTTGCTGAACCACATCTGCGACCAGACTGACTTTAAGGTGGATTCACTGCCATTGATGGGCCACAGTTTCCCACTCAGTCCTTGAGGGTTAGAAATGGATCCTTCTAGGTTCTTCCAGAAAACATGGGCCAGGGTATATCGAGGGAGAGGGCAGATCTTCATGACTGCCTTGGTGGCATTTAGAGTTTAGGCTTGCAATCCTAGCCACGTCCAGGGGGCATAACTTGGGGCTGCATTTCAGGACAGAAGCAGACTATCCCAACTCATCCTTAGCTCAGAAAGGCTCCTGCAAGGTGTGCAGCATAGGTAGACTAGATTTTTCCACCCTAACGGCGGCAATTTCTAGCACATTTCACAATGTATTTTATTTATTGGCTACCCAACTTCAGTGGGGTCCCTCAAAGAGTTCCAAACGCCCCCATGCAGCTTTCCCCATTTCTTTTCTCCACCCCTGTTTTTATTGGAGAGCCACCAAAGGCCCAAGAGACAAAGGGACCCTACCAGCCATCCACTCCAGCTTTCTGCAGCTCTGAAATGCCAAAGGACAGAGATCCCATAAAGTCATTCCTGCTGGTCAGATCCCAGTCCCAGATCTCCACCGACAGCCGCCTGCCCTTGTCGGACTCTTTCAACTGGCTGGAAAAAACAGGGGGAGGAAGGGAAAGAACAGATATTTAAGATGCCACTTTCTTGGGAAGGGGCTGCTTTCAGCAAGCTTCCATGCATTTCACCCATCATCACCCATTATTGAGAAGGGGGGGTCTTCAAGAGTAGCCTGGGCCCTTAATGCTGACATTCTAAATAGGGGTCTCCAAACTTGGCAACTTTAAGACTTGTGGGCTTCAACTCCCAGAATCCCCCAGCTGGCTTTGCTGGCTGAGGAAATCTGGGAGTGGAAGTCCATAAGTCATAAACCTTGGAGACCCCTGGTCAGAAAAATGAAAATGTTCAAAAATGTCAGTTTCTGATGCCACAATGTTATAGTATATATTTCTGAGTTACACTGACTGGTGGAGGAGAGGGGTGGGGGGAATCCCCATTCTCCTTTCTTAAAATGCAACATTTTTTTCCTCTTCATTAATTCTAGGAAATTTCAGGTAGTTAAAATCCTGCCTTGAGGCATCTGAGCCTGCAAACCATAATAAATTAAGCAGGGATGGGTGTGAGATGGAGACTCCTGAAAATCCCTGAAAGCTTGGCAACAAAAAACAGAAAGAAGATGGAGAATGGAGCGATGGAAGGACATGTTCAATCTAGCTTTACTTTTATGCATAGATTTCTCTCCTCGGGCACCCTCACAGCTTGAAGCTCAGCACAGCTCCCTTCCTTGCCAGCACTGGGCCTCTTTGCAGAGAGGCAGCATTGGCACAGAGAGGGATTTGGGAATGTGTTCCACCCCCTTAATGCTATGCTGCAGCAGGCCCCACACTGAGGATGAAATCTGAAAAGATTGCCCAGGAAATTAAGGCAGGGAGGAGAACTTCTTGGAAGCCGCCTCCTCCTTTTGTGGAACACCATGGTTCCATCTAGGTTACTCTTGTCTATGCTGTGGATAACAGAGTTGGAAGGGACCTTGGGGGTCTTCTAGTACAATCCCTGCTCAAGTAGGGAACCCTATACCAGTGCTGGTTAACCTTTTTGGCACTGAGTGCCGAAACTGGAATGTGCACGCCAGGGCACCAGAACCCGGAAGAGAGCAATGGCCGGTGTGCGTGCATGTGGTGGCCAGCTGCACTTCTGGATTTTGTTGTGTGCATGCGTGCTGGCCAACTAATCTTTGCATGAAGACCAGTTGACCAGTGCACATGTGTGCAACGGAACTTGGAAGTGCAGCTGGAGATGGTGCATGTGCCCACAGAGAGGGCTCTGCATGCCACCTCTGGCACCTGTGCCATAGGTTTGCCATCAAGGCCCTATACCATTTCAGACAAATTGTTGTCCGATCTCTTCTTCAAAACCTCCAGTGTTTTTGGAGTCAAAGCTGTCTAATATCTGCAATTCCTTCACCTGGCAGGTGAATATGGAATTTTTTGCCTGGGTTCTGTCTGAGTTACAGTTCCTTTCTAGTTACCTTCACAGTGGGGGATCTGGAGGAAAGGATGATATGAGATTGTCCCCTTTCTTGACCTCCTGTTTTAAGATATGGATAGCAATAGCAATGGCACATATACCGCTTAATAGTACTTTACAGCCCTCTCTGAGCAGTTTACAGAGTCAGCCTCTTGCCCCCAACCATCTGGGTCCTCATTTTACCCACCTCGGAAGGATGGAAGGCTGAGTCGACCTTGAGCTGGTCAGGGCTGAATTCCTGGCAGTGGGCAGAGTCGCCTGGAATACCATTCTGCATTCTAACCACTGCACCACTACAGCTCTATATGCCCCAGAAATCACCCAGGACCCAACCTTCAAATGTTGCATCTAGCAATACTCACAATTTGAAGGTCTCATTCCACTCAGGGTTCAAAGAACATTTGATGGTTTTCGTCTTTTGTTTGCTCTCGCTTTTTGGGTCAGGTATGAGTTTGAGTTTCACGTAGGGATCTGACAAGCCGTTGGGATCCATTGGAACAAGATTTTTAGCATCCCGTACTAGAACAGAAAGGGAAAAAAGACCCTAAATGGTGAAAAGGCCAACAACATCCATTCTTTCACTCATATATTTACATGCAGGAAAACTCAATGGGCTCAATTCGTGGTGCCATTCGTCCTGCCACAAGTGAAGCACATTTAAGTCCTCCAGAACAATTACATACAACGTGGCTTATTTGCAGGAAAAAAAAAATACCCACACCCTGGAGAGTCATTATTTTCTGTGCTGTGTTTGTGTGTATTCAGTACCATGGTAATCCACTCTCCAATTATCCCGCACTCCATGTGTTGGCAGATCTTTATATATTCATTTCTTTTCAGTTTTTATTTTTAACTCGGAGTCTTTTAAAATGGGATTGTCTTTTGCTGCTCCTCTGAGTCACCCAGAGGTCTCTGGTCCAATAAAAAAGAATCACGTCCCGGGCCAAAAAAAAGAATCCTCCCACTGGTGTTTCTGACTTAATTTGGCCACGTTATCTGTGCAGCATCCATTCCACTTAGGATGTCGGGAAGCAGTGACAGAGAGGGAAACTCTGCTTGTCATCGTGGTCCAAGTCTGTTATCAAAAAACACAATGTTCTCATTGAGAAACAGCTGCTGAAGCTGCTCAGCCATCCCTTAAGTGCTACTTATATAACAAAATGCAAATTAATAACATCCCCACCATTAATAAACATCTCACACTTGGGCCAAGGAGACAGGACTGAGTCCAGCCAGCTTCTGGGTGACCAGTCAAGGGCATTCAGGCATCTGTAGTAAGGAACACCCCGTATCCAGAGGTACAAACGCCACAAAGATACCCATTATTGGACAATGCCACAAAGATACCCATTACTGGGCTATCAAAATGTCAATAGAAATGAGGAGCAACTTTTCTGTAATTAAAATGTGATGAGGCAAGGAACTAGAATCATCTTGGAATAAAAGAGATGGCCATCACAAAATTATTCTTATCTAAAAATCTCTTGCAAAGTGTCTCTGCTCTATTTCAGTTAACACATGGACAATTATCTACTCCATAAATATTAAGACACATGGATCCATTTATGCCCAACAGTGTAAAATGAAAGATTTTGGAAGGAGCCCAGAGGAAATGGGAAGCACGAACACTGTACTGCAGAACAATGCCAGCCCCTGATAGAACAGTCCACAGATGGATGGATGGGTGCACTTCTTCAATATCAGCAGCTGGCAGAAAGATGCATGCATGTAATGCATACTACATTGCAGTGAATTTTGCCGAGCCAAACATACTAATTGAAAGATTAGCCCTTTAATGACTTTTAGCAAATACAGGCAATCATTGGAGATTAGGAAAAATGGGGAGGCCCAGATCAAATCCGTCCAAAATATTTGGGTTTTATTGAAGCCACAAAGCCCAAACAGCTGATGGAGGTCTATCAGCCCAAGCTGGACACCATCTATTTTGGATGACCTCATTCCGTTCCCTGCCTTGATCAGGAGACTGGGTAGCTTCGAAGATCCCCTCCAATGCCACGATTAATAAAAAAGCCCAGTCATGATGCACAGATTACATTGGGAGAGACACGAGGAGATTCAAGAGGCTCCTGGCATCCGTAATAAGAAATGGCAGCAAACTCTTTACAGGAGGAGAAGACGCCTTCCTTCAGAAAGGGAGAATGTTGTCCAAATGAGAGCAGAGCAGACACATTTGCATAATAGAAGGCAATAACAGTTGCAAAAAGGATTACGGACATACACAACTTATGTAAATAAATTTTAAAAGACACAGGAAAATGCAAATAGCCAGTCCCCGGAGAACAAAAGACTTGAAGAAAATCTGAAAGAGGATAATGAGATAGCACATCAGCTGAACACCGTCTGTGCACCAGTTTTCATTGAAGATGAAGGGCAGCCAGTATTCATTTCTCAACTGATTTTCTCAAGAATGTGTTTTAGGAACTCAGAAAATCTTTGTAACAACAATGAAGTCTGCATCTTTACTGACAAACGAAAGCCAAGCCCCTCGTGGCAAAGCTGAGTAGGTTTCATGGGAAGGAAAGTTGATAGGAAAACAAGCTCAAAATGGGTGGTGTGTTCCAAAATCACAACTGCAGACCATTCCAAAAAAGAAGTCGCCAGAAGAAACCTACAGACACATGCAGTAAATAGATAGAGGGTCACGACACAAAGGAAGGTTCAGTAGAGCTGATCCAGGAAGCAAAAGCTGAGAAGAAGAACTGACGAAGTCCTGAAGGAGCTCATTAGAATTAGAATTATTTGCCAGTGCACAACATATGTACAATGAGATTGGATGAGCTCCCTCAGTGCACACACCCCAACACAATACAACTCACAGTGAAGACAGAAAATCCGTAACCCAATAAATCATATTAACAAACACCCAGCCCTATTGCACCAGTGTGAATATGTTACTCTGTTTTCCCCAAAATAAGACCTCCCCAGATAATAAGCCCAATCGAGCTTTTGAGCGCATGCACTAAAATAAGACCTCCCTGAAAATATTGCAATACAGCAGCAGCCATGAGGTGACCACGATCTCCGCCTCCTGCACCTGAAAAATAATAAGACTTCCCCCCAAAAAGGCCAAGTGCTTATTTCGGGGGTCAAAAGGAAATAAGACCCTGTCTTATTTTCGGGGAAACACAGTACACATTGCAACGGTGCTTCAAGTCTATCGTACTATGTAATTATGATGTTATTTCGCATTCAGGAGTCTGACAGCCCACAGATCGTCTTGACCCAAAGGTGCTTTTCCAAAAGGCAACTGGGTTTCCTTGAAAACTGAAGCTTCTTCTGATCTTGTGTCAGGACTGCCATCCTGCGACAGCCATGCTTTCCCAGCTGCCCTACAAAATGGGGGGCGGGAGCTGTGGGGAAGGATTGGGAGGGGTAGCATGAAGGGAATTGAAACTACTTGTTGTGCTGTCCATCCTGGGAGAACCTTCGGCTGTTCCAAGGTCACACCATGGAACGCAGCACCGACCAGCCTGGCAAGTCAGGGACTGTTAACAAAACAATTTGTCTGAATGTAACTGGATAATTAGAAATAGCTGGAGTGGGAGACGTTGAAAAGGGAAAAGTTAACCAGATTCTTTGGGTGTAAAACTTCAGATCCAGCTTTGCTGCCCTGTAATCACTTGATAGTTTAGTAAAGTGTACTTTCGTTAACAATGGATTCGAGCATCTTTGCTAATCAACCAGGTTGGGGCGGCTGACATCTTGGATGAGAAGTGAAACATTTTCAAGGAAACACCAAGAAAGTCCAGTTGCCTTTTGAAAAAGCCCCTTTGGGACAATCACGATCTGGATGATGGAGGCTCTCTGGAGATACTTTGGACATGTTCAAAATTTTTAAAGTGGCAAACACTGCAAAATAATAGCTGGCAATAAGAAAAAGTGGAGTCAGCCCAACTGTATTTTGATTTAGCCCTTGGGCTGTTTATTAAAACATTTAAATAAATGGAATAAACAGCTATATGAAAAAAGAAGAAACAAAGTGGATAAGAAGAAAATAGCAGTAAGCAATATTTTCATAAAATTTAAAATTTTATGAATTGATTAATTAAATCCACAGAGCTAGGTTATTATGTCATCTGAAAGATAACAAGAAATCTCTATAAATCTCTAAACATATCAATATTTATATCTTGCCAGAGATAAATGCATTTAACCCAGTACAGAAAAAAAGGGGGGAAATCAATAAATACATTTTTAACCCCCCCTCCCCCAATTGTAGCTGCCTGGTGACTGCATTGATGTATTTATAAATATTGGAATTGCTTCTAATTGCTCTCTTGACATCATTTATTTATCTTTTAAAAGTGCACTCTAAGTGTCTGCCTTGTTGTGTGACATTTGATGCACCGGGAAACCATTCTTGCTTAAATATGGTCAAACTTCAGGTCTGGATCAATTCTGTTAACTTTGCCATTCTTGCATCGTCCCCAAGTTTGCTTTCCTGGTTTCGTATTGTTGGCAAAGAGTCTCTTTTCCAATGATGAGCTAAATGTGTCCTTGCAGTCATCAACATTAATGTTAAATTGTAATACTATTATTTATTCTGACAATGCCTAGGCAAAGAGAACTGATGTTTTCATTCAAACCTTTCTAAATTTTAATTGGATCAAGTTTTTCCTAATGTCCTACCATTGTTGAATTGCAGTTGTCTTGTGGGTTCTTTATTTGAACCACCTGTAACCCAACTGACCTAGTCACAGAGCAACTGGAAGCCTGGACAACAGATTCTGAAGCACTATGGCTACATGTGATTTGGAGAACAGAACAAGTGTAATTGGGAAGAAGCAGCTGGAGGTCAGCAATTCTGAAAAAGGTTCCACACCTTCTCCAGATGATGCTTGCTGTGTCTTTCATCTGTTTCCAGAGTCTGAATGTGCCATTCCTGCAAAATAGTTTGCACTTTTCTTACAATAATTATCTCTACAATAATAAAAAGCATTTGAGGCTAAGGATGAGGAACATGTGATTTTTGTAGAATCTTGTGTTTTTATCACACTATCTTGTAATATATAACCTTTCAAGTTTTGGTCTTCTGCTATACCCTAAAACCATAAACATCTGTGAAGTCCATCAACTAGTCTGACACCTTCTAACGTTGATGCTTTGCTGTTCATGAGTTACATCCATTCAATTGTCCACAACAGAAAACTTGCTTGGGAATATAATTTAAAATTCAGACGAGGAACAGCTCGTCTCTCTTTTGAATTGTTTTGTTTTGCTGAAGAGGATGTTTTGAACAAAATCAATCATTAACTGTTGTTTGCCAATTTTTAAAGACTTTGGGGATTGAAATTAGCACCATTTGAAGTTTTGAAAAATATCTTCAGGAGCCAGGCTACAAAAAAGAAGACCTGGAGCTCCAGTCCCATCATGGGAAAGAAGATGAACCCCCACAGTCATTCCCTTTAAGCCCTAGGAAAGTGCCAAAGGCAAATCACGTCCGGAATCTTGCCAAGAAAATGTAGGGATTTGTCAATTGCCAGGAGTCCACACAGACTACATATTCATTTTAATAGTCTCAACTGATTCCAACCAGGAGAGTTTTTAAATTTTCCACCTTTTAAAACCTTTTTTATAAATTTCTCTTTTTATAAATATATAATTTTGTGCAATTATTTTGAAATATATCTTTGTTACTGCCTGACAAATACAGTCCCAAATACTTCACTGAATCCTTTGTTGTCTGGCAACCTGACTTTTTCTGCACAAAGCTCTCTCCTTCTTGGGATAAATGTCTCATTACTATCTTTGGTTTTTGTGCGTAATTTTATATCCTGAGAATTCAACCAAAACCTTTAATTGTTTTCATCAGCTGTCTTATCACCCTTTGCAGCTGCATAATAGTTAGTACTACATCGTCTGCATAGCATTTTAATTTATATTCCTCTCCTTGAATCTTAATGCCTGATATTTGCTTATCTTTTAGAACCTTACGTATTGGCTAATATGACTAAAGCGATTGCAAGTAGTGAAGGAGAAAATGGACATCCTTGTCCTGTAGCTTTGCTTACTGAAAAATCTGTAGAAAGTGTTCCATTACCGTATTTTCACCCATATAACCCGCCCACGCAAATAACCCGCCCATGCGAATAACCTGCAGGTTTTCAAGATCGTGTAAAATGTTTCCCATAT